AAATACAGTTTTTGTAAGTAGGGCTGGCACAGGGTTCCAATACTTTCCTCTGACACCAGTGCACACTCCTGTAGGGGAAATGTCACGCATCTGTATTAGTGGATCTGTATTACTTTAGGGACTGTTGTTCTGTGCGTCTATGCTCTACTTCCATACATATATTTATTAATTACCCTGTACAAAGTGACATCATTTGCTGCAGTGACCAGAAAGATTTGGAGTAAACGTTTTCATTTTATAGCTATAGATTGCAAAATCACGAATTAATGTAAGAGCATAAATGAATACCCTCGGTTTCCCTGGAGGGACTTTTTATTGGCTTTTATGCATTGCTACGCAAGATGGTTTACATATTGTCTGTGTGCTTTGTGTCTAGTTAAAACGACATTGTGGTGTCCAGTAAGAATTAAGCGGCGGAAAGATTAATTAAAAATAAACTAAACATCTAATCAAAGGGGTGGTTGATTGTGTAGTCTTGGAAAAAATGCATTAACTCCAGAGGCTTCATCTAATACATGGGTAGGCAAACTAAGGCCCGGGGGCCGGATCTGGCCCAATCGCCTTGTAAATCCAGCCCGCGAATGGTCTGGGAACCAGCGTGTTTTTACATGAGTAGAATGTGTCCTTTTATTTAAAATGCATCTCTGGGTTATTTGTGGGGCATAGAAATTTGTTCATTACCCCCCCCCAATATAGTCCGGCCCCCCACAAGGTCTAAGGGACAGTGGACTGGCCCTTGCTGACCCCTGATCTAATATATCTCAGAGCAAAGGAAATATATGAAACTCCCATGCTCTCCTAAGTCATAGCCAGTGCGGAGTGCTGGAATGCTGGACAAGGACCCGGGAGACCAGGGGTCAAATCCCAAATCAGCTCTGAAGCCTAACCTACCTCACAGGGTTGTTGTGAAGAGAAAATGGAAGGGGAGAAAATGTGCACTCCACCTTGAGCTCTTTGGAAGAATGGTAGAATGCAACGTTGTTGTTGTTGTTGTTGTTGTTGTTGTTGTTGTTTTCCTTTCTAGGATTGGTGGGAGACTTTTCCCATGGGTCCATAGCTGTCAACGAGCTGTCAATGATCCAGGTCATCCACAGGGCAGGCTAATAATAATAATAATAATTTTATTATTTATACCCTGCTCATCTGGCAGGTGTGATGGGCAGCATGTGGCCTGCTCCATTCTAAGAGCAGGTGAGGTAATAAAACTGTTTTGAAAAAACCCTGCAGCTCGGGAATGGAGAACTTGTGGCTCTTCATTTGTTGTTGGACTACAACTCCCATCATCCATTGACTGAAAGCTTTATCTTGATTTCATGGCCTCTCAGGCTCCTACATGGCAATTTGTTTCCCTTAATCTAGTCAGCGCCCCTGATGCTTATAAATTGGCATCTAATCGTGACCCCCAAAGCAGTAATTCACATTTAGGCAGCTCTCCAATTTGCCTTCATTAAGGGTTTTGCTTGAATGACTGAGGGCTGCAGTGTTTGCCATGGTGGGGGCGATGTCAGCTGAAGCGAGCTCACTATAGAACTCATTCACAAACCCTCCACTTTCCCATGGAGACTGTTGCTATAACAGTCAGTTGCTAGGCAGCAGAGAAGAGTTTGTGCTTTTTTTGTGTCCTGTCTTTTTTTTTCCTTTCCAAGAGGAGATATTGCATCTCTTGTTGGCTTAGGTGCATGCGAGAGAGTTCGTTTGGGTTGCTGAGGCATTTCTGTCCGCTGAGTCTCTTCCAGCTGCAGCAATCCCTTTCAGGGGTCACGCTGACTCATGCTTTTTGCCATCACAATGACTTTGTGTTTTGTAAACAACATTGATTCTCCCACATGTTCCAGCCATGTGCATCAAAGTGGGATGTTTCTAGGCAACCAACAATTACATTGGAAGAGATATCGACCAGTTACACACACACACACACACACACATACGGTGGTGGCAAAAAGGTGCAATCTATTAGGACACTCTCTTGCAGAAGTCCATTGGAATAAATGGGCTGTGCACAGGAGAACTTCTTAATATATTTAGGAATCTATTTTAGATTCCTAAAAAAGATACTTCAGGAACTTGCCCATTTTGCTAGTTCCTAAAATACTGAACAATGCCATTAATGAATGGCTGGGTGTTGCTATTGAACAGGGATTCAAGGAATATTTCTTTTTTATTTGTTTTTAGATTCTCACACCCTACCGACTGAGACTTGGTACATGCTGCACTCTTTATCTCCCAAATCAACTTTCCACTTCACTCTTGATAGCCCAGACAGTTGCACAGTCCCACCCACTTCCTGGATAAAGCTTTTCAGCTTGCAAGCTACAGACTGCTGATACCCATGGATAATGTTGGATTTAATAAGGGCCTTGAGCTTGAAACAGCCTTCCGGCAGGAGTGCCTTAGCTACAGTGTTGTGCCTACTTACCTGGAAATAATTGCCACTGAACACCATGACCAGTAGGGTAAGGCATTGTGAGGTTGGGCCACTCACCTAACCTCCTTTCGACTGCTGCATAACTGGACAAGGAGCTGGAGGGGCTAGGTATTGGTGTAGTCAGCACAGTTCAAACGCGTCGGCAGGAGTACCAGATGGGCTCTGCCAACGCCTTTGCACTACACCAACCTTGCCTCTGCCTCAACTTTCCTCATCTCTGGTGACTCAGCTGGAGGGAGGTCAGGTGAGCGATGGAGGCCCACCACCACATCTGCTCCTTGCCAAGACATTTACTTTTGAGTAAATACGTTTAGGATTGCACAGCTTTCGTGCTTTTATTCCTCACCCCTCAACATCCCATCAGTCTCTTGGCATGCTCCAGCCATATGTCATCTTCCCCTTGGTCAAGGTTGCTAGGGCAGTGCCCCATTCGCCATCCTCCACCACTCATAGATGCACTATATAAATGCAAGACTAACAACAACATGGAAGAGCATTTGACAAACAGAGCCATATGGGCTTATTAACAGCATATCCTCCAAAGGAATGCATTGCTAATTTGGTCATGTTGTTAAGCCGGATGTGTGGATGTGACTTTACAACTCACTGCCACACTCTGCTTGGGACTTTGCCAGATCCTGGGGTTTCTTCCTCCTTCTTTCTCATTAGCTCCATGCATCTCTTGACAGGAAATATAACTGGCTCTGCGTTGTCAACAAAGCAGGAGCACTTTGCTCACAGTGTGTGGTATGTTAACATGAATGTCTCTGCGGTGCCAGAATTGTGAGGGGGGGTAGGCTGATGCTTTCCTCAAGGGGGCAGTGATGTGCTTTGCAGAAATGACTCTTCTGCTGGTTCCGTTTTTTAAAAGTTGTGATGGGTGTGTTCAAGGTGTTTCCTTTTTCATCGGTAAGGAATGTCATTCATTTAAAGCTCAGCTCTTCAGTCACTGTAGAGGAGACACGGAAAGTGTTTGCCAGGGCTGTGTATGGCAGTTATAAGCATCATGGAATGGCAGAGTTGGAAGGGGTTGGGGGGGGTCATCTAGTCCAACCCCCTACAATGCAGGAACCACAGCTAATTATAATGCCTCAAAATGCTCTACAGTGTATAAATCAAATTCCTGTGATGCGGGGATCAACAAACAGACAACAGAAGTGGATCCTGGGAGCCCTTATGACTGACTGCAAAGGGACTTCAAGGCTGGACCAAGTACAGTGGTACCTCAGGTTAAGAACTTAATTCGTTCTGGAGGTCTGTTCTTAACCTGAAACTGTTCTTAACCTGAAGCACCACTTTAGCTAATGGGGCCTCCTGCTGCCGCCGTGCCGCTGCTGCACAGTTTCTCTTCTCATCCTGAAGCAAAGTTCTTAACCCGAGGTACTATTTCTGGGTTAGCGGAGTCTGTAACCTGAAGCGTCTGTAACCTGAGGTACCACTGTACTCCTCGGTGGTCCAAAGAGTTGACTATCCTTTCTACATTTTAATATCCAAATGTGATTGACAGCTATAGTTTCCAACCAGGGAAAGATTTTGCCCTGGTTCTCCTTTTTATTTTCAGTCCATACGGACACAGATGTGTTTTTGCATTTGTTTGCTATTTTAAACCCAGTGCTCCCCCCACTTTCTTCTATAGGCATCATGCGTTATCTCCCAACCGAGGATAACATTTTAAATAGACTCTAGCCCACAAATGCTTTTGTCATAATCAACGTCTTAGCCTAACAAGTGTTACAAGGATCTTTTATTGGTTTGGCTAAAAGACACTCATACTGCCACCTCTCTCAGATCCCCCAGCAGGCCAACAACACAAACTGAAAGCAGAGAATAAAGAGTAGAGAATGTAGTGTTTGTTCGCTTTAGGAGGTATGGTTGGTTGTTTAGGTCTACCACCTCTCATACCCTACTGTCATTCTGCAAAATTACCTGCTGACTAGGGAAGGTCCTAGGGACGTGGGTGGCGCTGTGGGTTAAACCACAGAGCCTAGGACTTGCCGATCAGAAGGTTGGTGGTTCGAATCCCCGTGACAGGGTGAGCTCCCGTTGCTCGGTCCCTGCTCCTGCCAACCTAGCAGTTCAAAAGCACACCAGTGCAAGTAAATAAATAGGTACTGCTCTGGCGGGAAGGTAAACAGTGTTTCTGTGTGCTGCTCTGGTTCGCCAGAAGCGGCTTAGTCATTCTGGCCACATGACCTGGAAGCTGTACGCCGGCTCCCTCGGCCAATAAAGCAAGATGAGCGCCGCAACCCCAGAGTCGGTCACAACTGGACCTAATGGTCAGTGGTCCCTTTACCTTTGCCTTAAGGGAAGGTCCTAAACATGTCCCATTGGCTCCTTCTTCACAGGACTTGTGTGGCTTGCATTTGCCAACCTGATGCCCTCTAGATGTCTTGGACATCAGTTCCAGCCAGAACACTTTAATTGGATCAGGCTGATGGTCGTGTAAGCAGCAATTTGATCCTTGGATAACCCAGCTGCAGCATTCTTGTTGAGGCTTCTCAGAAGCCTTTCATGTCACCCCTCTGATTACACAAAAAGTACAAGCACATAAGAAGAACACACATACAGTAGTTGTTGCCCTTTGATTTATTGCTATACTATAATAATACAAGCTGTATAAAAATATTTTACAAAAAGCAAAATCACAATTAAATTGGAGATTAAAACATTACATGGGGGATATATCAAGATACAACCTCAGTTGTTGTTGTTGTTTTAAAAAAGTTAAAACATTTTGAACAAGCAATTTTAGTTTAAAATATATATATATCTGAGCAATTTAAAAGCTGCTTTCCCTTTAGGCGTCTTTTTGTTTTGCAGTAAATAATGTACAATGCTAGCTGCAAATATAGGCTGGATATTTTATTTAGAGCACCTGGAAACACCCCAAAATGCATGTTATGCTTGATTTCCATGAGAACGAAAGGGTCTTTCTTGCCCATGCTGAATTGCACCTTAAGAGTGTTTTCACCAGGTGTTTTTTTTTGCTTAAACATGTATTTTAGTTTTTCAGTTTCTTGCGTGCAAATGTTGTTGACAACCAGCAAAAAAATGGAAGAGAGACGTCTTTTAACCAAATGTGCAATCTGATCGGCACAGTTCTTTCATTTGGTTTACAGATGTGGGAAATCAAAATCTTTGGTGTCGCTTCGGAAAAGCCCTGCCGGATCCCACCAAAGGGCTATCTAGTCTAGCATCCTGTTTCCCACAGTGGCCAACCAGATGTTCCTGGGAAGCCAAGGACCAGGACACAAAGGCAAAAGCTCTCTCCCATTGTTGCTCCCTGCAGCTGGCATTCACTGGTATGTTGCCTCTCAACCTGATGGTTCCATAATCAATAATGGTCAACAGGCTGGTGCCCCATTACAGGACGGTCTCAACATTTCTTCTTCCGAGAACATCCCTTATACATACAAGTAAGATTAACTGTGTTGTATTTTACTAGTGAACGAAAGGAAGACTGATGCACTTTATATCTTGGTGCTCAATGAAGTTACACCTGATTTTCCAAATGGCAGGAGATGGTCGGCAATTAACTGAAGTTTTCCAGCTTTGCTGGATCAGTTTTGGGACAAGCTAAGATGAACACACACAAATTAGTGCAAATAAAAAAAAATCAGTTAAATTCCATATCCATAGACTTCAGTCTGATGTAGCTTGGACCCAAACTCCTTCCCAGCATTTGATAGCAACATTGTATGAGGGATGGCCAACTACTTCAGGAAAAGAACTGGAAGGCCGCTGCTAATTAGTATATCATTAGTTAATTGCAGAAAACAATTTGCATATCGTTTTTCTGGAACGTTAAAGGTGCCAAGTACTGTTGTTGCATATAATGTGCACAACCCAGAGATTGAAATACCTAAATTCAATTGAAAACAGGAGAACTTAAGTGTGGGTTGCACCCCACTGTGCTTATTATTTTACAATGTATTTCTTCCGATAGTCTTTATCCTCACATGTTAAGAACCTGAGTTAATACTCTGAAACTCGTGGAAAATATAGACTTTAAAAACAAATGAATCTGTGCATCCTGTTGCTCTCTTCCTGTTTTCTGATCATTTAAGCTTTTAGATTTATAGACATTCATCTCTGTAAGCGTGAGGACTAGAAACTAACGTTTACAAATAAAAGCTAAGATTATCAAGACTCTCAGTCTCTTGCAGACCACACAAAAGAGCCTTGCCAGACATATTTGCCATATCAACAATATACCCGATCCACTTTGGCCTATATGAGATTGTACAATTACTACAGCACATTCATTTGACTTTGTGCAATGCCCTGGAAACGCGAGAGATGCTGTTATTTAATTGTTACATTCATTATGCACAAGCAAGTAGAAATGGATAAATAAACCTTATAAACTGGCTATGACATTATTTAGTTGTCAACGAAACAGATAACTGTTCTTTGCATCTCTTATTCAGCAGTACTTATGTGAGGAAACTTTCAACCGAAACGTTCAATGGACAAATTGTTCCCAAGGTTGTATTTAAAATGTCAATAGCCATACAAAATGGCAGGATCATAAACATACACGGACTTACACATCACACCAAAGAGTCACTGAGGCAGCCTCCCCCAACCTGGTCCCCTCCAAATTTTTCGGACTACCCCTCCCATCACACCAACTGCATTCAACAATACCAACCGTGCTTGCTTTTGAGTAAGAGCACTTATTTAAAGCTGCAGCTGAAGGAATGCAAACTGGAGATTTATAAATACCAGCATGGAGGAGTTGCATTATTTGTGGCAGTTAAGAAGCATAGTAGACATTTTTCTTCTTCTTTAAAAGGATCGTATAGTACAAAATATATATATTTTCAAAAAATAATAATAATTGTGCTATCTAATTTCAAGAACTTTGAGATATAACATCAAAAAGCAGCATGTTTTTAATATAGTAACCTAGTGCTATCTTTGAAAATATTCTACATTTTAGAACGTGCTGTATTTTAACAAGAAGATGGAAAAGACACATCTTTACATGAGACACACAGTCAAGGCAGGTGTAAGCATGAAGCCCCAATGATTTTGACTGATGGGTTAAGCATGCACTTAACTCTCTCTCTCTCTCTGAAATCAGTGGGTTTGTGTTGTCTATATGACGTACATCTTACGTGAATCTACTATCTAGCAAAAAGAAGAGAGAGAAAAAGTGCTTCAATTTGGCTGCATTGTACCCACAGACAGTATTAACTGAGTGCAAACCATAACTATTCAACATTCTTTCTACCACTGTCATCACATCCAGCAGACACCTTAACCTCAAAGCCACTAAAATTCAGGTGATCTCAAATTTTGTTCAATCTCACACATTAAAAATAGAAGAGAAGCCTCCGCCCCGACACACAAATAAAAAAAAGAGGGAGATAATTTGTAACCAAATTGTGAGCATTTAATGACAAATTATCTTCCTCTGCAATTTCTCCTCTGGCAATCTTTACTTCCAAAATGCATTCAACAATGACAAAAGGCCCTTCCTAACATCTGCCGTCTCTGTAAATACCCGCCGACTGTTTAGATGTTAAGATGGATGGCTTCATTTTCTCTGTATTGTCTAATTTGGTGCAAAAGTTTACAGGAGCTCATCCTGTAATTTGCAGGCAAAGATGTGATAGGAAAGTGAGTTTAAAAAAAACCAACACAACCCAAACACAGTGAGATGATCTTTGGAGTCGCAATATTTTGCTTATACTTTAGCACAGTATAACATTGATGGAAAATGCATTACAGTTGTCAGCCTACAGACAATGCCTTGGGAGGACTTTTAGTACAATAGCAGGAAGGCACTGTAGTGAAACATTCAGATAACTGAGGAAAGAGAGAATTTCCTCATATGCAACTATGGCTGTCTTCCAGAGAAACTGAGAACAAATTACTCACACAAAGCAATTCACTTGCCCCAGGTGAACCTGATGTTACTTTGAACATACACACACTCCACTGCCTCCAAAGCTTGCGTCAACATTGCAATCAATAATGCTGCAAAACTATTGCAAAAGGAAAAGAAATAATTTAGTACACGGAAGCTTTCAACATTATTTATGCTACCTTAATGTATCCACTTATTTTATTAGAAAGAGAGATCTATACAGCGGCTTTGAAAAGGCCTCCCTTGCTTCGGAAAGACATATATACCTGGTTAAGGCTTTATTATTAGCAAGCAGGTGCTTGCAAAAATGTTCAAAAGCTGATACAGTAGGATAGCTTGCCTTCATATAGCCATAACAAAAAATGTAGTCTATATACTACAGATATATGAAACTGTAACCCAGCAGGTAAGGGGGATATTAGAGGATTTAGCAGTACACCTCTCATTTATTTCATTGCAACTTGCAAGGAAGAACTGAACAAAGCATATGGATCATTCTGAAATAATCTGTTGTGAGTTCATTCCCATGGAACTTGGAGAAAAGAGAGCATAATTCATGTGTCTGTGCTTTTTAAAGCTTGTGATGAAACCTGATGGTTGCCTCAGCATGTGTTAAAGCTCTGTATCTGCCACCTACCCTAGATTGATCCCTGTATGGATATTACCATACAGGATGTCCCTGATTTAGCAAGAAAGCAGATACACCTCATGATTGATCAGAGGTACCACAATGTGATTGATAACATGATGTATTGCTGTCTTGTTGGGAGGAAGGGAAAAAAGCAGGAACGCAGCACAGCATTCCAAAATAGCCTATACTATCACCTGCACAAACTTACATTGCCCTGCTCTTGAACAGAAATGCAAGTTCAGGGCATCATTCTCAACGAGCAATTTTCATTCGAATAGCTTGTCAGAGCCTGTGATCCACACACCAGAAGTCCTGTTCACCTATGTAATATGTGATGGGAATTGTGTTGAAATTAGTTTGTTTCGCTTTACTGCTAGTCTTTCTATTTTAAAAAATGCACTTTAGTCCCTTCATTGCGTAAGCCTCATCTCAAGCCCACATAGTTCTCTTAGCTTATAAGAGTGTCCAAAGGCAGTATAAATCTGCCAAATGTTTGGTTTTCGTTTACTGCTGTTTTGATGTTTAAAGCCTTGCCCAATTTGCACCACATTTTTTTAAAAAATGCATTTTATATTGGCTTGTCTGTACTGAGCCAAGGTAAGCATTATATTTTAAAAGGCACTTCTTTTTAGGACAAATAACAGCAACCAAAGAATGGACAAAACAATTGGATGTTTTGTCTGGTACTTTACTTGGCATGAGAATGACCCCAAGGTATGATCTGAAATCCAGATATCCTGACAGGCATCTGTGGATTCGTTGTTGAAATGAATATGAATTGTGATTGAGGACTGGCTTTAAAAGATAGTCAGGTGAAGCTGAAAACCAGTTCACATGCCAGAAACATCTGCCCTGCCCTCCAGTTGGAGCTGCCAGGTTGCAACCTTGGAGATTCTTTTTTTTACTGGCATAATATGTTGCATAGCTTGTAACTACTCAGAACAGACCTGCTGAAATTAATGGGACTAAGTTGGTCCTGCCCATTAATTTTAATGGGCTTACTCTGAGTAGGATTAGCACTGATGACAACCCATTTTAATCATGTTATTATGCTTAGTGGATGTAAACAGTTGACAGGCATTTGGGTCCCACTGAGTTGTTAGTGTGGGATTTTTAAATAAGTGAAGTACTTTACTTTGGGGGCCCCTTTTTTGAGGGGAGGGGATGCTTCTTTTTCTCCCTTCTTCCTCAAAATAACAGACTCTTTATAACAGGCTTCCTCAACCTCAGCCCTCCAGATGTTTTTGCCCCACAACTCCCATGATCCCTAGCTAGCAGGACCAGTGGTCAGGGATGATGGGAATTGTAGTCTCAAAACATCTGGAGGGCCGAGGTTGAGGAAGCCTGGTTTAGAAAAATTTCCCTTAGCTACTTTCAGTGTTATAATGTGCCTTGCTAAACAAGATCAGCTTTAATGTCATTATGGCTTCTTAATGGAAACAGTGACATCGCCCAAAGGCAGAAAAAAAATGCAACAAGAGTTTCTGTGGCCTCGTTTTTAAAAAAGAAATAGGATGGAATGCAAAACTCTCATCTAACTTTGTGTGGACTTGGTAACTTTTGACTTGATCATCTGGTAGGGAGCTCTGCCAGCACAACAGAACTTCTGGAATGTAGCACGCTTTGCCAACATTGCACAAACTTTAAAGACGCCCATGGCAGATGAACTGGTCCCACTTTCTTTGCTTGGTAGTGCAGACATCCCAAGAGGGAATCAGATCAACAGAATGGAGAGCAGGGAGCAAATACTGCTACAAATTCACTATCATTAATAAAGAGCTGGTGCAATGGGAAGGACTTGTTATAGCTCTGGGTCTGTAGGAACTCTTCCTGCGGCTACTAATTATTTTGGAGTGCCCAGTTGACACAGGGCGTTAGGACTTGTTTCCCTTCTGCCCAACATGTGTTGTGGGGCCAGGGCAGGGGACACAAACTGTGAGCCAGTACTTTAGCAATAAGAGTACTAACTGTTTCAGTATACTATTTGAAAGACTATGCTTGAGTCAGTCCACACATCTGGGTACAGAGCTCCCGGGATTGAAGATAGGGAACTACATGTTTGAAGCCACTACACACACACACACACACACACACACACACACACACTTGTGACAAGCTAGCATGTCAGGTAGAAGTATCTGCTGTCTGACCCTGACATGATACTTTTCCACAGGCAGGAAAATGTTCTGGAGCAACATGCCGACATGCAACAACTTCCCGCTTCCCCATCTTCAGTCTGAAATGGTGCAGTTTCAGGAATCTGTACCATGTGCTCTACCCAGATGTGTAGACTGACTCTTGAGTCCCCAATTCTGCAATACGGCAGGGTGGCCAAGAAGAGAGGCTGTTCCTCATTGCAACACAACCGTTAGAGAAAACAAGATCTCCACATTGAGAACATGTTAATCATTCTTGCTAGGAAATTTATATATACTTCACTAAGGAGAAAACCACTTCTGTTGCAACATCGTTAAGAAGGATCCCTGAGTTTTCTGGGCGTTTTGAGAACTATCGCAATGAGCACCAAGAAACTGCACTTGATTTCAATAATTGGCAGCACAATACTATATGCAGCTACTCAGAAGTAAGTCCCAATTGAATGCAATGGGACTTATTCCCAGGTAACTCCCAAGATGGCAGCCTCAATTATTCAGTATCATATGTTTTCTGTAAATAAAAACTTGAAAGTGTAAGATCTTTTAGGGTTGCCTGCTCTTATGATTCTTATGAGAAAGCTTGAGATTTGATGAACTTGAAAAGCCCGAGAAACAAAACATAATAGCACTTTCCAGTTTAAGTTGAGATAACTTTAAAAATATTCTGCTCTTTGTAGGGCTTAGAGGGAACCTAAAAACAACAACCCCTGTTTCAATTTTGCAGGGCCATCCATATAGTCAAATGCAGCACCTGATAAATTAATAGGAAACTGGAAGCAGCACCAAGCCAAAGTTAACCACTGTAAGTTCCACCGATTTAAAAAATGAGTTTTAAGCAAATGCTGAAAACTCTTCTGTGAAATCTGCAGGCCTTACCAAAAAACACAAAAAAACCCACAACTGAATTTTTGGCTGTACTATGCCTTGAGTTCGTCTCTTTTCTAGTCCAAAGCAGTGAAAATGTGGCTTCAGTGCATCCCATGATCTGAGCAACAATGTGGTAAAGCCACAATCTAGAGAACTGCTTTACAGCATCACAAAGCATTATGCCCACACTGCATGGTTTTCTTCCCCCTTTCCATTACAGCAGCCCTCCTGAATTACACTGAAGCTCCTATGATACCGTGCAGAGCGATGCCTCGGTTTAAAAAAGAACAAAAATACATGATGCAAGCAGAGATCTGTTCCTTTATGTTTTTCTGCCTCACACTGCCTATGCGTTATCTCATAATTAGTTCTGGCCATTAATTTCCTCCCTCCCCAAATCTGATAATTTTCTAGGAACATCACACTCTGTATTTTGCTGAGCGGGCGACTTTGCAATTCATCTGTTGTTCCCAGCACACATAGAATTCTACTTTGCTTCAACACAGGCTTCTAGATTGATGTTCTCTTTTCGTTGCTGCTGAAGTCCTCTTTCCTCTCTCTCTGTGTAGTCATATTAATAGGTTGTGCCAGGCACATGCATTGCTACATGAGAACGACATGATCTTTGGACAAAAGGAAGAGTGTTCTTTTTGATGTTTACAGTGAGAGGTGCCGAGCTGCTTAGTCAAAGCTGTCAGTTTGAAGCCAGTGCATTGTTCCTGGTGTTGAACCGGTGCCTTGAGATGATCAGTTAAGGAAGCAGGAGGCTGACAGGGCAGGAGAAGAATCTAAGAGGTCAGGTACGGAAGCATTCAGTAAAAGTTGTCGCGCAAATCTCTTCTTCTATGTTTGACTTCTGGCAGGGAGTCCAGAAAACTCTTTCCTGATAATTTCGTTAACTGTGAAGGAAAAGAGGAAGGGGAAAAAAAAAAGGTGTTACAATTAAAGGGAACAGTAAATGAAGTCACTAGTGTGATTTGCCATTAAAAGCAATGCAGAGACCCAGCATGGATGAGTGATTAAAGACCTGAGTTCGAATCATCACAGAGTTGTGAACCTCACCGGGACAGTCACTATTTCTCAGCCTAATCTACCATCTCAGGGTTGTTGTGAAGATAAAATGTAAATGTGTGTGTACACGCCGGCAGAAGTGGTTTGGTTTCTTTTGAGCGGCAATAATAGCTTTGTAACACAGAGAGTAGGCCTCTATGTACTGGCTTAAAGAAAACCACCCCACAAAAAAAATGAGATAAAATCGCTATAAATTGTTGTGGTGATTCAGAGGTTTAATCTGAAATCAAGCTGGATTTGAGTTAGTTGCTACATCTGGTAACTTCTCTCTCTTACATCATGGATGTTGGCGATTTGGATTTTAAAAGGGCAAAACAATACTCGAATTAGAGCTGTCAAGAGATGCACAAGGGAAACTGTGCTTTAATGCTAATAAACATGGCTAAATCGTTGCAGATTTTTATATTACAGATGTATGTTTTGTATTACTTTATTAATAATATTGCTTAATACAAATTTGTCATGACCTTTGGCTAGAACAATAAACTAATGAACTGGAAAAAGTGGGGTGTGTGTGTGTGTGTGTGTGTGTGTGTGTGTGAGTGTGTCAGGCCAAACTCTTATTAGCCTTGCTCTGTGTCCTTCGTGGCTGCTTTTGCCTAGCTGGAATACCTCTTTAGCATGACCCACTTTTTGCTCTGCCCCCAATCCTACAATGGGCATCAGACCCTTGCCATACATTATTCTCTGCTCTTTGGAGGGAGGGAAGAATACAAAATGGCAATGCATCTAAAACTATTTGCAGCATAATGCTATAGCTTCTCATTTTTACCCCCCGTTTTCTAACCTATACTCTGATCTAAGAACAGGCAAAATTGACAGCTGTATATGTAGGAGTTCTACCCAGCAGTGAAGTCTGTGCATCCTCACTGAAAATTGTGCCGGGCTCCTTTCTGGCTTGAGAAATTCCACTAGATACCGCTCACAGAATGGTGAGCCTCTCTCTGCAGCCTTAAGAACTTTTAAAAAAACCTTTTTGCAAGAAGAAGATGAGAACTAACATATTTTCTGGATAACAGGATTCTGAGACAATGATTGAAATCTGTGCTTTTTCTAAAGTTTCACAACCCCATGACTCCATGGCCAAAGGTATAAAAATACTATCCACAATTTCAATATTAAAAAATCCATCTCAACTAGTGTTTACAGAGTTCCACTGTCAAACCTGGCACTAGCCGTTTCATTTCAAAGAGGAGAATTAAAGGATGTTTCCTGTTCCAAAACATTTATTTCCACAAACTGAGAACACAAACAAGGGATTTTGCACGTTTAGCTGGGCAATGTTTAGCTGGTGTCCAGGTGATGTTAGTAAATATGCACAAGTAACCATATTGGGTAATTGATCCACAATTCATGTGGGGAATTATGCATATTGCCCAGGCAAAAGCATCTCTGA